ACAAACTTGCTGAATCCAACTCTTCCCCCACCCCATAGCCCTGTGTCTGTTTTGATTTTGGTTTTTTTGACAGGGGCTCACCGTATAGTTCAGGCTGGTCTTGACTTCGGCAATCCTCCTGCCTTAACCTGCCAAATGCTGAGATTACAGGCATGTACCACCTCTGCCTGAGGGGTGGTGGCAGGCAGGTGGAGATTGTGAGAAACAGGACTGGTTTTGCTCTCATGTTCCAGTCCTCAGGCAGAGCCTTGTGAAGATGCAGGAAGCTGTCTGTCATCATCTTTTATGGCATTTTTACATCTTTATTTGACTTACAAAATAGTTTGCATCTCTCAACTTCAGTTTTAAATCCTGAACCCAAGTTTAAGTATTAAAAATTTTACCTCACAACCTTATTTTATAAGAAAGATGTTAATACCATAATATAAAATAATCAAAGAGCTTAACCAGGAAATACTTCAAATTACAAAATATTACATACATATTTCATCTCAGGTGATCAAAAAATATTTAGACTTGCATAACAATTTTATGTATCATATTGTAAAAAGTACAATACAAGCATGAAGTGTGATAGGCCTGCTTCATACAGAGCCGATGGGGCTTTCAATCAGAACAGTAAGTTATGAAGACTAAGCTGGTGAACTTTGTCCACAATCACAAATATATCTGTTCTGTTTGATCCATAGATTCCTCTTATAGGAATCTACTCAAGGAAACAAGAACAGGACAAGGAAAATGGCAGTGATGATCAGTAGCAAACTCCCAGAATCTATTAAAAAAATAACATTAAAGTCTGGGATGGTGGTATGTACCTGTAATCCTAGTACTCTGGGAGGCTGAGGCAGGAGGATTTCGAGCTCAAGCCTATAGTTTAGTGAGACCCTTTCTCAAAATAGAAAATTTAAAAAATGGGATAGGATCAATCCTTAGTATAACACACACACACACAAACACACACACACTCAAAAATTAACAAAGTGAGTTTAAAAATTGATGCTAATTTTATTTGTTGTTATAATTTGGTATGGAGATTGAACTCAAGAATCTTTGCAATCCTCCTGCCTCAGCCTCCCGGTATACTGAGATTACAAGTGTGCCTCATCACATACTGCTCTGATATACTTTTTAAGCACCATATAGTCTTAAAAAAAGAAATAACAAGTTTATCTGGTCACACACTGTATGAATATTAAGTGAGAAATGTGGAAAATGAAACTGAAAGCATAGTACGAGTCTTTGGCTTTTTACACTACCCAAGCATGTAAACCAGATTGGAAGAACAGGTCTGGGCCATCGTGCATACTCCTTCCATAATGAAACTACATGGATACCAGGGCTGGGTGTGGCGGTGCACACCTGAAATCCTGGCTGCGGAGAAGGCTGAAGCAGTAGGATTTCGAGTTCAGGAACAGAGAGGACAACTTAGTGAGACCCCATTTGAGAAAAGATAGAAAAGGCTGGAGATGGAGCTCACAACTCCTTGGGTTTGATCCCCAGTGCTGCTGAAACAAGGAAATGACCCAAATTTGGTAGCTTTTCTAAAATAGTCACTTGTATTTCCCACATTCATTAAATTACTTAATTATTTATCAATTGAATGTTAATATATTACTGAAAATATTTATTGCCTGCTTACACACAATTCCTTGCTAATCTAAGAAATATCAATAGATAGAACATTGTCTCTTTAGAGCTTCACGGAGAAAGAGGATACAGGCTTACAATCCACGGAACACCATGAATTACTAGTGTTTACATAGAACATAGCACGTGTTCCAATTTAGAGGCGTGTTTTCACAAGGGCAGCTGTAATAGAGGGAGGAAGACCTGACTGGGCTTCTACAGGGAGCAGAAGTTCTGCTGCTATGGTTTCCCTGCGGACTGAACCCAGGGCCTCATGCATGCAAGCGCTCCACCACTGAGCTACATCCTCAGCCCCGTGGATAGAATTCTTTTCAACAGGAAAAAAAGGAGGGGGAGAAATGCAAGAAACAATATTATGAGAAAGTTTGAAATATACTTGTATTATTATTATTGTTGTTGTTATTATTATTTTTTTAGGGAGGCCGTAAAACATCAGGTGTGACCAGAACTGCATGGCTTAAAGGAGTGAGCAGTTCTGGCAGCTAGAAATCAGGTTGGGAGGGGGTGCCGCCTCAGACACCCGCTGGCACTTTGTGGCCCCCTCTGCTTCTCAGCACATCACTCCAATCCTCTTCACTGCACTTTCCTTGTCTTTAGATCAACTTCCTCCTGTTCACTTCTATGGCTGTATCCCACTTTCTTCCTCTTATGACAGATGGACACGAGTCATTGGATCGGGGCCAACCTGATGACCTCATTCTTACTTAATTACCTCTGCAAAAACCTGGTTCCAAACAGAGCGACACTTCAGCACCCTGTTAATTAGTTCCAGTACCAAAAATGATAAATAACAAGAGAATTGTTCTAGCTGGGAAGGAGCAAGTCACCGTGCCATCTATCCGCAAGTCCTAGCTCATCAGTGGGAAGCAAACCAAAGGACAGGACGAGGGACAATGCTTTTTGCATCAGAATGTGTGCAGTACAAAATGGGGTGAATTTCAAAGCAGGCAGGTATCCAGGCCTAATTGTGCTTGTAGTCTAGGTACTAGGTGCTGGGACATCACAAAAGCGGTCCTATGACACAGTAATATAGGAGTAATTTGAGCAAATTTGGACTAAATTACTAGGGTGGATCATAAAAAACTTGTAACATCAGGCTCAGGGAAGCAGTAAATAGGTACTGGGCAACTCTGAAAACATTCAAGAAATAGGGCTGATCTCAGGCGGGCTGCTCATGCTCCTGTCAAGTGCCCAGTGGAACGACTAGAAAGCTATGTTTTCGGCTTTGTTTTTGGTAGTAGAACTACAGTAGCAATCTTCAACAGGTAAGGTCTGAAGCACTCTAGGGAGGTAGGAAGCAAATGAAAACTTCTCTGAGATGGACAGAGGCAGGGGCAGCAGTGAGCGACTAGGGGACTGCTCTCTTGGGGGGACCATGGGGCAGCTCTGGGCTCAGTCCACTCAGAAGAAACAAAACTGAAGTGAGACATGGAGAAACCTGCAAGGTCTCAGGTACAAAAGATGCCAGTGGTTTCCATGAGCTAGAAAATCTGCTCAAAATTTGCACTGAAGACACTGCCTGTTCCTGACTGTAACTGTGATGACTCATCACACAAAACCTGTAATGAATTTAATTTTCACAGACCACATGTTGGGCAATTGTCCTTGATATATGGCTTTATCATGACATCACTCTCATTAGGAACAACTGCATTTCTGGAGAAATTCTATTCTGTAAAATTATTTACCCGTAGCCGTTTTGCATTAAAACAGTGCAAAAGCCTTTTATTGTGCTACTAAATGGTTTGTTAAAGACTCTATCACTGCAAATGGAAATTAGTTATATTTACAAACTTTTGAATTCCATATACAACCTTACATTCAAGAGGGCAAGGTACAGAGTCAAGTTTTTACAGTGACTTAACTGTTCTCTCACACGAGGGGTAAACATTCAATAAACATTCTCTATACTTATCTGTAAAGCAATTAGGATAAACAGACTTTGGACAGTCAACTAATTTTATAAGTATATATACTTTTAGACACTGGAAAAAAACTTTCTTCCCTTTTAACTTAAAAATTTTAGATTAATTGTTACAGATCTTACAGAAGCGGGTGGAGTTGTAGCACAGTGATAGGGCATACCTGATCCATTTGCTGTTTAGCCACTTAAAGACCGTGGATTCCAATTCCAGCCAAAAGTTAAGAAAGGAGATACAGGCAATTGTGTTCAGTAGTTGGGATCTTTGGTAAGTAGAAAACATTGCCTCATAAGTCCCTATTTTCTGTTATGGGTGTTATTTTCCTGTAAATGCTTTAGAAGCAAGGAAGACTCACCCGGATGGTATTTACTTGGCAGTCTGTAAGGAGCAGAAAGATGGGGAATCCATGATGGTTTGCTTTGGTGGTCATGTCTGCTTTTAAGTGCTGAGCCCAAATCTGACCTTTCTTGCCTCCTTTATCCTTCCTTTCAACTGAGAAAGCAGAGGACAGTAAAGGTCACCGTATCTTACTCCAAAGAGATCATTTCAAATTCATGACGGGCCAGCGTGGGAAAATTGATACGTGGTAAAATCCCAGGACCGTGGAACTCAGATCCCAGATCAGATGCCTTTTCCTACAGGGCGCCACAGAAATAGGTCTCAGGGGAGAGCAGAGACTTCACATGGCCCAGAGTGGCCTGGTTAACCTAGGGCCTGGTGGGTTACACGCTCTGGTCAGAAGGCGATCTAATTTCCCTTCCAGCTCACGGAACTTTCCTTCTTGAGCCGCAGAATGTCAAGAGGAACAAAGCCAAAGAGGGGCTCTTCCCCCCAAACAAGAGAGAAATGATCAAGAATTCCCCCTCCCCTCTCTCCCTTCTGCCTTCTTTTCCTTCCCTCCTTATTTCTCTCCATCTCTCCTTCTTTCCTTCCTTCCTTCCTCCCTCCTTTTTCCCCCCTCCCTCCTAAAAATCAAACTCTGGGTCCTGTTCGTGCTAGGCAAGCTCTGTCCCACTGAGTTACATGCCCAGCCATTCATTTTTCACTTTTGGGATTGTCTTGCTAAACTGCGCGGGCTTGCCATGAACACAAGTTTATGATGTTCCTGTCTCAGCCTCCTGAGTAGCTGGAATTTACAGATAAGGAATATAAAGTTTGGTAGCAATTTGCTTCCAAAGGTCTAAATTAGATCTTTTCATCCTGGCTCTGGATCATGAAAGGGCAAGTAAACAGGATTATCTCAAAGCACCCAAAGACCGAAACTCCTTTGGAGCTGAACAGAGGAATGTGGCCTGTTTCCCCAAGCAGCTTTCCAGAGGAACAGACTCCAAATGCTCTGTCCTGGGTGGAGCCGGGGAGGGGCCGGCCGTGGAAGGAGCTGGGGGCCTGGCTTTGACAACCGCGGCGGAGCTCCTGAGCTCCTGCAGGGGGCTCACTGCTGCTCCGCGTGGCCTCGGAGGGCGGCAGAGCCGGGCCAGCCCTTCCCTGGCTGCGGGAGCTGTGAGCGCTTCCTGTGCTGCCTCCCGCCCCAGCTGCCTCTGCCTATGCCCTCCTCCCGGTGAGTGTGACTCCAACTTTAATTTGATTTAAGGACAGTTAAACAGTGTGATGCGCTCTGGACCTGGGAACACGGGAGATCTTTGACTTCTCGAAGGTGAAAGTCAGGATGTCACAAGATTACATGCACCTCCATCGTAATCTGCAGATTCTCAAGGTTACTCAGGGACGGTCTTGGCTCAGGCCTGAGCCTATTCCGGGGTTAAATCTGTGTACACCAACTTGACAATGAAGTGTCACCAATATTGATTGATCATTCAGAGAGCACTGTGTTACTCGTGAACTATGATAATGCATGCTTCTTTCATGGTTACCCACTTTTCTGTTTCAGTTACCTGCTCTGGGTATCTTTTCTTTCTCTCTTTGTTTCATTTTGTTGTCTTTTTGAGACAGGGTTTCGCTATGTAGTTCAGGCTGGCCTTGAACTCATATAGCTCAGGCTGGCCTTGAACTGGAAGGATTCTCCTGCCTCAGCCTCCCAAGGGCTGGATTACAGGCATGATCTGCATATCTTTTCTTTTGTTACCTAGTTATTCTCTCCCTAGTCCAGTGGGCCATTCTAATAGTTGAGGTCAGGAGGGTAATACAGGTCAGACTGTGCAGGGAAGGGGGACCAGTGAGTGGCCATGGGCTTCAGTGTGGAAGCGTGTGCTTGTGAGGGGGGACAGCGCTGAATGGTTACCCCCTTCCTGAAAGGCCAGGACAGCTGTTAACCAGGTGGGAAAGTGAGCCCAAGTTGCCAGATTTACAGGTATTTCTAGAGAACCTGAAACAAAAATTTTTGGGTCTCCTATGAAATACCCTATGTTTAAAAATACTGTCATTTTAGATAAAAACCTTGGAAATGCCGAACTGCTCTGTAGAGCGTAGAGCAGCTGAGGTCCAGTGGTGAGGTATGAGGAGGTGGCCCCACTGGCTGGAGCGAGACCAGACAGTGCCTCTAGGGCCAGCCTGGTAACAATGCCTGGGGGGGACACAGTGGTTCTGCTCCTGTGAATTTACCCAACTGATTTGCTTGTCTGTTTTCATAATGATGCATGTTTAAGGGTGAGCGTTGTAGCATGAACCCCATAATAAAATACTGAGTACAACTCTCATGCCTGTCCAAAGAGAATCTCTAAATAATGTATCAATGCAATGGCGTCTTGTGGAGTCATTAGAATAATACAGGGCAATGCTAGATGTGCTGAGATGAGAAGTTTGGGTAAAAAAGCAAGACGCAGAACAAGGGTTTATATTGTGTAGGCCATTGGTCCTTTTATTTTTTCAAGAATGTGTATACTTTGCTGGGTGTGGTGGCCCACTCCTGTAATCCCAGCACTTGGGAGGCTGAGGCGGTGGATTGTGGCAAGTTTAAGAGCAGCCTGGGCTACAAAGTGAGCTCAAGGCCAGCCTAAACACATGTTGTCTTTTTTTTTTGTCTCAAAGAGCCAAAAAAAAAAAAAATGTGTATACTTCATCTTAATATATGGATATATATAGTATGATGATATTAGATACTTAAAGATGATCTCTGGAAGAATATAAAGTCAAACCAAGTCTTGCCTTTGGAAATGTGAATTATGGCTAAGAGGTGACTACTTACTTTTCACTTTATATTCTCTGTTACTTTTCAAAATTTGTTTCATACTGGGCGTGGTGGTACACACCTATAATCCCAGCACTTGAGAGGCTGAGGCAGGAGGATGTAGTTTCAGACAAGCTACAAAGTGAGCTCAAGACCAGCCTGAATGGCATTTTGAGACCCTATCTCAAAAAGACAGAATAAACAAACAAAAAAATTTGTTTCATGTGCTTGTGTAATTTATTTGAAAAAATATTTGTAAAATTGTAGGTAAATGAGATGTCCTTTGTGTGTGTGTGTGTGTGTGTGTGTGTGTGTGAGATCCTGGAGCTCTAGCACTAGGCTAGGTGTGTGCTTTACCACTGAGCTGTGTCACTTGTTCACGAGGAACTAATTAAACCTAATAAAACAGCCCGATCTGCACTAAACCTTTGAGTGCCCCCTCGGTGCGCAGACTGCCTTGGTGCAGGGCCCCAGCACCTCTCCCCTGCCACTTCAGTGGCTTTCCGTTGGCTCCTGGATCCAGCTCAGCGCCTTTGGGAAAGAGCCCTTGATTCCACGCTCCTAGACTTGCAGACACAGTTTCCTGTCGTTGTCTCGCTTCATTTTCTTTATTCTTGTGTCACTTCTTCCACAGCCCTGAGGTCCTGCCTACCCCGGTCTCCGGTGGTTCTGCTCTGTTCCTGCTCCTGCTCAAAATGAGACTTGCAAGTCAGGGTCCAGGCAAATCCGTGGCTCAGGGTCGTCTTCTGATAGGCTGATGTGAATTTAGTTGGTTTAAACCTTCCCACACTCTGGCCCTTAATTTCTCTTCTAAGAAATACAGATAAGAATGTTTACTTACCCAAAATAAAAGTGAGAGCTAAATCTGTGTAAACCGGGCATGGTAGCACACGCCTGTAATCCCAGCACTTGGGAGGCTAGGCAGAAGGATTGCTGTGAGTTCAAGGCCAGTCTGGGCTACAAAGTGAGTTCAAGGCCAGTTTGAACTGCATAGAGAGATCCTCTCTCAAAAAAAAAGTCAGTATGTGTATATTCCAAAAGTATCTTTAAAAGAACATCTAATCTAGAGTTTATAACATAGTAAATGAGCAGACAAAAGTTATTTTCAGAGATCAAAAGCAGTTAATTCACTCTTGCATCTTACACACTTACCTATCTATCAAATTATCTGGGTTTCTCCATCATAATAGAGTATAAATAATAATAGTGCAAAGCCAGTTTGATAATAGTAGAATTAAAATATTGAGGTTCAAAGGATGGAGCTCAAGTGAGGATGGACTAACAGTTTGTTGTTGGAGAGGCAGCTGCTGAGAAAAGCATGACCAGGAGCTGGGAAGCAGGAAGCAATTCAGTGTTCCCCTGGCTGGCATGGTGGGACTATTTACGGTAAAGACTATCAATTGAAGCCTTGTACCCTATGGGAGTAACAATCATATGGGGTACAAGTGGCAGTGTATTAGCAAAGCTGCCTCTAGGGAATTTCTGAAATTCCCCGAGGATTTCAGAATCCATCTTGAGGACAGAATCTGAGAATTCCATATTTTGAGGCATTTCCCTTGCTGCCTCTATCTACTGGTTACCATTTTTATTACAGGCAAAGTACATTTAATGTGCACATTAAACCAGGTGTGGTGTGGTGCACACTCTTGCCACCCAGCACTCTGGGAGGCTGAGGCAGGGGGACTGTAAGGTCAAACTCAGTCTGCGCAATTTAGTGATTTAGGAAGATCCTATTTTGAAATAAAATAAGAAAAGGGCTGGGGATTTAGCTCGGTGCGAGGTCTCTAGGTAACACACACACACACACACACACACACACACACACACACACACACAGTCGGTTCATAGCCTCAAGATGAACTGAATATGCTAAAGCCAGAGATGGTGCCCTGAACTCAGTGTCTATGTGTGTGTGTGTGTGTGTGTGTGTGTGTGTGTGTGTGTGTGTATGTGTGAGAGAGAGAGAGAAAGAGAGAGAGAACTTGTGTGAGAAGCTTTTATTAATGCAGATTGCTTAGGAGAAGAGGGCAGAAGCAAGGGAAGAATTTGTTAGTGTGTATATAAAAAAAGACTAATCTTGACATAAATCACCAGCCAAAGGCCACAGAACTAAAACTGTTGCAACAATTTGTATTTTGTTAATCTTTCTCAGCAAGAGAGACCGGCATAGTCATCTCAGTTCACTGTCTTGCCAACAATTCTTGGTTCATTTATTACAGAGTTGAACAGGTTTGGCCCAACAAGGCCTTCCAAGTCTGGTTTTAGATTTGCATGATCTTGCAAGGAATTAAGCCACATTTCAGACATTTCCTAGTGTAAATTTTGCGCGACTTGAACCATCATCAGTACTATTATACTTTCAGTCTTCTGCATGTGAAATGGGAAGATCAGACCTTTGATGGATGACCAGGGTACAGGTTGCTTCAGCTTCCAGATTCCAAAGAGCACCTCGTGGCAATGAAGACCTCCAAGCACAGAGTGGAAATCAAGCACCTAAATTTGCTTAGAAAAGTGCTGATCACTCTAGGAGTCTCATCAGAATTTCCTGTCTCAAAAACAAGTTCCCTATTTGGTCTTCTATGACAGTAAAGCAGGGATCAGAAACTTACTGTTTGTTCAAAAGCAGAAGCTAGAATCATTTCAAAGAAAGAAAGAGTAAAATGGAAACTGAAACTCTGCTTTTACCTATCTCGACTCAGTGGAGCGCATCCGTCCAGGGCTTCTAATGCCCCTGATGCAGGCGAAATTTACTAACCGCAGAGGTGTCTTTTCCTGGTGCCCTTATGAGGATGTAGCTTACTCTTTTTGGTACTAAACAAGTCATCAGATGGGTACAAAAGTAGTTTTTAGTGGCTATGTGAAGAGTCTGGCCTTTCCCCAGCACATGTATCCACTGACCTAGGTCCTGAGGGCTTGCAGTTTGAGTCATCATTAAACTAATTTGTACCATTAATCAAAATGCTCTCTGAAGTTACTCAAATGCGAATGCAAAGGACAGATTGCACAGTATGCAGATGTCTACTTCTCCTTCTTCCTCTTCTTCTTCCTCCTCTTCTGCCTCCCCCCTCCTCCTCTTCCTCCTCCTTCTCCTCCTCCTCTTCCTCCTCCTTCTTCTTCTCTTCCTCCTCTTCTCGTTCTCCTCTTCCTCCTTCTTCTTCTTCTCTTTTTAAAATTAAGTACCCCATAACCAGACAGATTTAAGAAAATTAACAGTGAAAAAACCCACAATACCCAGACATTTACATGAGGAGTTTCCCTCTCTTCTCAAAGACTAGGGAGGAGTCTCATAGCATCATGGGTATCTTGTGAGGAGGGGTAAAGTGTGCATGCATTGCACGCAGAGCAGTCAATTGCTGAGACAAATACATGAGGTGCTTTCACCCCTTCCTCACTCATTTGCCTTCTCTCGATACTTTCTCCCTCATTTCTAAATG